TAAAACAACAGTTTATCTCAAGATGATCAATATATAACTGTTGATTAAGGGAACGGGTGTTCAAGATATTCTGCACAGTATAACTTAGAGTTAGTCTATACACTCTATATTAAATATCTACAAAAAAATCCCACGACTTTTTGGCTCAGGGCTATACTAGAAGGCCATTGCTTTTTATATATATGAAGAGAACCCAAAAAAATCAAGTTAAAGCCAAGATTTATATTTGAGGCTCTGGATTTTCAGCTCAGAGCTATCTTCTTTTATAAAAATATCAATAAGAAACCATTACTTTTTATTAAAATCTGATGATCTACTTTTTCTAAAGTTGTAGCACCTGGAGAATTGATGAGGACCAAATGCAAACCCCAGCTTCAGTGTATGACTACTGAGTTTATAAAAATCTTTTGTAAATGGCAAAAATCACAACTTCTTAGAAAACATGATGTTGAGTTGGTAACATAGTAGATTGCTTAGCAAAAATATGGGGAACTTAAGTCTCATGTAGGAGATATAGTTTGGGGGGAAAAAGACAAATAAGGGTTTCTAGTGTTGTTCTACTTTCTCCAAAGAGTTGACTGCTTTTAAAATAAAGATGATTTTTAACTAAAAGGACTGTATCATTTAATCACATGCTAAATCAATATAAATGTACTTATTTGAACATCACATTTTTACACATACTTAAAAAAAATAAACAAAAGTATAGTGAAAAGATTATATATTTTAAATGCAAGTATATTAGCTCGAGGCAGCACAGATTTGGGGTCTCAACAGAAGACTTCTTTAGCAGTTGGCCTTCATAGATAGGCCTCCTGCTATGGCCAGCAGATGCTTTACACTGTGCAAAGAAAGTCTTAAGAGTAACAAGAGACAAGTCTTGTTTTTTGCCTCTATAATCTGGGATGTCATTGTAGAGAAGATGCATAATTAAAAAAGTGAAGACTACTTATTGAAAATGTTTACTTTATGAAATTTAAACACAGCATTCATCCTGAGGAAGCTGCATATACACTAAGGTAGTAGAACCAGACTAGGTAAATTTCAGTTGAAAAGGATTGTCTCTAAAAATGAAAAAAGTGGCAGCTTTCTTAGAGACCAGAGTTATAGAATCATTCTGTTGTATTTTTATCTTGTTTTAATGACCAAATTTCAGTTAACTTACTCAGATTAGGATCTATAATTCTGTTGACTGTTCAGGACTACAGTAGTCATCTTGGGACTTTCTATGGAAGTATGTACAAATTTTCCTCATAGAGCTGGGAGTAATGGTGACCTAGAAAAAGAAAGTTTAGATTTTAGACTTTTTCTAAAATAAAGTCTAGCTGTTAGCCAAGCAAGCTATCACTAACAGGTATTTTAAGTTAGGATGCCTAGAAATTTGATTATTAGCCAATATTCAGTCCCAAATACTTGGATGACAATGTCTCTTTTGGTTGATTTGTACTGAATATAGTAAAAATTTAATAGATAGTATGCAAGGAAGGAAGAGACTTCTCATGTAAACAGAAAATATTTACCAGTTAAACCTCCTAATAGGAACTAAGAAGTTAAAATTACCATCCTCTTTGAAATGAGTAAATTACCCTCCCAAATTTACAAAGAAAGGTAACCAAATGGCAGCTGCTACCCTCTTCTGAAGCCTACATTACTGTCATGTACATAAAGAAAAATTATTTTAAAGAAACTGTAGCTTCAAAGATTGAAAAAATAAAACCAGTGTTAAAAAACAGACAACTGGCCCAAAATGGAGTCACATGTGTTAAGCTCCACCTCAGCAAACTATGACTAGCAATACATAACCTATTTGCAGTTTCAGCCTCTCCCATGAATGTTCCTTTAACCAGTCAATCTGGAAATTCCTTGATCAGTACCAGTGAGGTAATCTGCTTGAGAGACCCCCTGCCTCCCCCTAAGGAAAGGTGACCTTGCCTGAAATAATTTATTCTTTCAATTTTCCTTTTCCTCCCTCTTTCTGTCCTTAGAAGCCTTACATTTTGTATAGTTCCTCAGGGTCCTTTCTATTTGCTAGACGGGATGTCGCCTGATTCACCAATTGCTGGGTTTTGTTGTTTTAACACCAAAAGTATCTTGGACCAGCACACTCTCTTTTAAAGCCTTTAAAATCTACGCATTAGTTAAAAACATTTTCCATTGCAATTGCTTTTCTGTTAACACATAGCTGAGATCATCTCCCCAGAAAAAATAGAAATTTTGGCTAGGGGCAAAGAGCAGATACAGTGATAATATTGAGAGAAGAAAGGAAAGACTCCTTATAGCATTAAAAACAAAAGTCCTGTAGCAAGGTTTAGTTGGAGTTTGTGTTCAAAGTAATCTTTAAAAATATTTATAGTTTATTCCTAAAATTATAGGATAGGCTTCATGATAGTAGGTGGGTGATATCAACATTTATTGAACTGGCCTAAGGTTATCCAGCTTATACCTTTTAAAAGGGTCGAGATGTAGCCCGGCCAGGTTGCTCAGTTGGTTGGAGCTCACCTAATGCTCACAGCTACTTCTGCCTCCACAGTAGTTATGAGTCACTTGCTTTTTAAGGTTCATAAACCTATTTCCCCAGCAGTATCTGTTTTTGAAATTATCTAACTTTATTAACCAATTAAATATGAGCCCTAAAAAGGTAAGTAAAGCTAAGCAGAATGTTTAAAAAAGTGTAGATACAGGTGAGTTGCCAAAAATTGGAGTGAGCAAGATGATTATAAGAGAGTGGGGATCATCATTAAAATCTAGAAGGATTCTGTACTTAAACTGCTTTGCAGATATCTAGGTTTCACTTTATTTTAAATAATCATAAACTGTAATTACAACTGATATTCTATTTATGGATGTTGGCAACTTGCCCATGAACAACAGCTTTATCTGTAAAAAGGGGAGGGCGTCTATAAAAAGGGGTTGCCAAGGGCTTGGGGGTAGGGGAAATAAGAAAAAAAGGGGTCAGGGAGAAAATAATGTCAAACAAAGGACAGGGAAGATATTTTTGAACTGATATCCTGGAGAATGAGGAGGCTTTGATGAATCAGGCAACAGGGCTGAGGGGTATGGGCCTTGACAGAAGTGATTTTAATGGGAGTAAATAGGGTTACCAGATAAAAATACAGCACACACCGAGTTACATTTGAATTTCAAACAAACAACAAGTAACTTTTCAGTATAGAATTTTTTATTATAAGTATATCCCATGCAATATTTGTCTTGTATTTTTATATGCTAAGCCTGGCAACCCTAAAATAAATAGATTTACTTAAAAAAAAAAAAAAAAAAAAGCATCCTGACTTGAGAAGAGATCTAAACCTATCCCGTTCAAGTTAGAAAATGCATCTTTCCTCCACTGCTGACTTACCGGGCCTGGAGAAGTTTTTCCACTTTGTCTCCTGGAATTGGGGGTCTGGGATGATGGACTTCGTGGCGATGAATTCTCAGCCTTCCGTTTGGCTGCCATGGCCAATAACCAGTTTTTATTCTCTGGGGAGCTATTCTCTTTGCCTACCAATTCAGACCCTTCTCCACAAGACCCCAAAGGAAGAGAGAGTGTCCCACAGCCTTCTGAAGCATAAGGACTGGCAGGAGAAGGAGGCTCCGAGACACTCATACTGGCTCCTTCAATCTTGCTTGATTTGGTAGGACCTGCAGAGTCCTTACCAAGATCTTCCTGGTTACCAGTAAGACAGCACAGATCCAAATGAAGCTTTTCAACTGGGTCATCAAGCTCAGTCACACAGCTGCAACTCTTCACACACTTCTGTTTCACATTCTCCAGACAACTTGAATCTAGCCTCCTCTTTACTCGATTTCTAGACTCAGAGCAAGCCACTGCCTGGGATGATTTCAGGCTCACAGGAATGAGGGCTTTTCTTGGAGATGTGATCTTGGTCTCAGAAGCAGGTGGGGTGATGGGTGGTGATGAGGAAGGTGTTTGGGTCACCCAATTTCTAATGGACATCTTGAAAGATGAAGGTGGCTTTGGAGAGACAGAGGAGATGGAGCCTCTTCTGCTAATGGGAGACCGGGCCTTGGCAGGAGGGGTTTTAATAGAAAATGTGGGAGTATTTGAAGGAAGAGGGAGGTCTCCAGCACAGCTTGGAGCACAGGCTGCTGAGGAAGGGGAGGAACTAGATGGACTGCTCTTTACTCTGGGTGCTTTAGCAGGAGTACTCTGGCTACTTGTCACTGTTACTGAAAAAGAAAAGAGGGCCACAAAAATCAGAAGTGAAAGCCAAAGAAAATCCCTGAATTCACATCAAGGAAAATTATAGCTAACTTAACTATCCAAGGGTTGATTTCCCAGTGAGTTGATCACATAAATCATTTGATTCTTACCACATCTTCTTAGTATTTTTCTTCCCCTTTCCTAACTGCCAGCCTCCCAACCACCCCACTATAAAATATACACTTGAAAAATCTAGAAAATTCAGAAAAAAAGAGAGAAAAGATTAAAAGCATCTAGGTGAACCACTTTTAGTGTTCTTTTTCCTATACTTGTGCATATAATACATTATACACTTCAAATTCTTCTATACAAAAATGAGACTGTTTTTACTACTTAGTAACCTGCTTACATATTACAAACATTCCCACATTAATACAGATTTATAATTTTTAATAGCTACAAAGTATTCCAAACAGAAGTGCGTAGGCCTAAAATCAAGCACAATCATTTACTATGTGACTTGAGCACAACCCTTTACCTCCTCTGCCCCAGTTTCCGTATTTGTTAAATAGACATGTTTTTTTAAATTTTTTAAAAGATTTATTGATTTTAGAAGAGAAAGGGAGGGAGAGAGGGAAAGTGACAGATATCAATTTGTAGTTCCTCTTATTTATGCATTCATTGGTTGATTCTTGTACATGCCCTCACCGACTGAATCCCCAACGTTGGCATATGGGGACAGTGCTCTAACTAACTGAGCTGCCCATCCAGGGCTAGAGATAGTTTTTAATCTCCACAAGAATTATATTAATTACTTAACATTATCAGGCCTCATGTGGTTTTCCACCTTAGTTTGCACATGGCTGCTATACTCCACAAGCCAAAGTATGCGAAAGAAAATTTCAGAAATTCAGTGCTTGCTCTCTGTAAAGCAAATGAAGCAATGGATAGAATTCTTCTCTATATATCCTGGTCCTTGTTTATAGGCAATGGAAAGTACTTTAGGCAAATTTTTATAAACTTCATGTTTCTTCCTCCTCAGGCCTCACCACAGACACACTATATTTCCTTACTTTTTTTCTGAACTTTCTAGATTTCTGGAGTAGTGTTTCTGTCTTCAAATAACAAGGAAAAGGCACCTATTTCTCAGTCACTAAGTCTTTGAATTATAACTCTGATATTTAATTCAGTTTAATTATTGAACTACATTTATATGCAACTGAATTTAGAATGGGCTGACATAAAAATATGAAGTCAGTTGGAATATTTACTAACTTCAGTCGTTTAGTTACCCTGTACATTTTACACTGTGCTTTCCACTATTCAAGCGGCCTTGCCTTGAGATAGAAAAATTCTACAAATTGAATTTTGCCTAAACTTTTCTCATCAACCATGTTTAGAAATGGTCAAAACGATACTGCTCCTTCAATAAAGATCATTACTAGAAAACCCCATTTTATTATAATGTACTATAGAAGGGGAGCTAAAGACAGGGATGTCCATGGAACATCTGGTGATAGTTCTCACATTCCTGTTCTAGAGCTTGACTACAGTTATTATTTCAAAAGGAAAGAAACTTCATTTGCTTCACTCCTCAGTGCAAGTCAACAGTCACTGCACAGCCCCTACAGTCATTAGTGCCAGTAAAGTGGGCTGAAGCGCACATTCAGGGCAGTAAGTCCTAAAACTCTATGGGCCTTACAACATGAAGATTCAAAGGCAGAATTGGGGAAGAAGGAAAAGCTGAGCCAGGGACAAAGCAGGTATACAAGTTTCTGTTACTTGAGCGGCAGACACGTGAAGTGTTTACTAAAGGTTAGTGGGAAATCTGATGTGATGGAAAGTTGGGTGAAAATTCCTTTTTCCTTTAAGATGTTTTAATGAAGGAAGGAGTAGGCCATGAGGGTCAAAGAGAAGTTTTCGTTAACTTTCAAGGTTAACAGAACTTAAACTCTGGGTCAAATTTAAATCCTTTCTTTTTAACTGTAATTAGGTTATAAAAGTAATAACAGTTCATGGTAAAAAAAAATCAGTTACAGAGGGGAATAAGCTGAACAGCAAAAAATCCTCCTTTCAACCTTCTCATTTCACTCTGATGTGCATTCCACAATTTTCTATGTGCTTATTATTAGTGCACACAAAGGTATATGTATATACCTTAAAAAAAGCCACACTGGATTATTAAACACACATTCTGCAATTTGCTCTTTTCTTAAACAGTGTATCTTTTTCTCTTTATATCTTTTCATGAAAATGCACTTAGAAGCACTACATTTTTTTACGAGCTGGATAGTATGTCACCTTACTGACCTACCGATTCAAATATAACACACCATTTAGTACTTCATCTACTTAAGTGCATCAACCCCTATTAACCTTAAGCACTGCATGAGATCTGATGACACGTTATAGATTGGGTTATTCCTCTAAAGGCTTTCTAAAAGTTAGTTCCTTTGAGAAATTACGGAAAGCTTATAAATAATCAGTCAATTTGTAGGTTCTTTCTGCACAAGGGTTTGCCATCTGGCCTCACTCTACCTTTTCAATCTTATCACCTACTATGCTACTTTTAGGATCCTGTTACAGGAGGCTACTCACTGCTTCCTGAACAAGCTGTGCACTGTCACATCTCTGTCTTTATTCATGTGGTTTTCTTGCCAAGTCTGTCCCTTCTTTGCCAGGCAAAAATTCTCCTCATGTTTCCAGGCTCTGATGACAACTGCACAGAATTCACAAACTTCTTTCCTCCTCTCCCATAGGAAATGTGTTTTCAGAGCCTTTTGTTTCTACAGCTAGGAGTAATGTTTAGAATGTACTATGGCTTTTAAAAATCTGCCTTTTGGACAAAACCGCAAGCACCTAGAGGGCAGGTGATGATTTAGTCATTTTTAGGTCTAGTGCCTAAAATATACCTAGCCAGGAATTATTAAACAATGTTTGTAAAATCTCACTACTGCCAAGAGGGATGAGGGTGAAGTTCTAGGCACCAAGAAAAAAAGACTCTAAGCATTCTGCTGACTTTTGAGACGGCAGCAAACACTTGAGATAGAACAGGTAAGGTTTCCTTCTCTTCAGGATAAGGATAATCATCTTTGTCACTCAATAATGCCTAGACCTGAGGTTCTCAATCCTGGCTGCATACCAGACTTACTTGGAGCTTTATAAAAATACAGGTACTTGGCCTCTACCCCAGACCTAGTGAACAATCTCTGGGAAGCTCAACCTTTTAAAAAGCTCCACAAGTGTTTCTGATGCACAGCCAGGGTTGAGAAACATTGGCCTCATCAGATCTCTGGCTGAAATAGTGAAAGAATAGTAAGCCACAGAGCAGGCACTGGCTGGGAAAAGTAGGGCAGAGGGTCTTGGGATTTAAAGCCTTTCAGCTGGTGTGTTAAAAGGGCCAGAGAGATGATAAGCAGTCCAGGACAGCAAGGAAAGTTGGGGTGGCCATTAAAAACTTGGGAAAGCAGAGGAACATAATTTTGAAGATGGCAGGGTAATTAATTAGCAGCAGCCAGTCTGCTGCTGGATGGTGGCTTTTAGGGTTTAATGGCCAGTGTGTTAGCCTTTGGCACTCATGTCAGGTTGTTACCCTATAGTGCTCTCAGAGTAACTCCAGCATAACCAAGAAATAGAGAAATTTAGGTAGAAGTCCTGGTCTGGTCTTAACTTGAACTTAGCTTTGCTGTGTTGGGATCTAAAGGAGAAAATACTGTAGAGTGCTTCCAAGCATATGCTCTAGAATCAGACTGCAAGGGTTGAACTCTGGTTCTACTTCAACTTCGTAACTGTGTGATCTTAGGCAAGTCTAACTTCCTCGAGCTTCAGTTTCAGTTGTTTAGGGAATTAAATGAGATAATCCAAGTAGGTCCTTAAAACAATTGTGCCAGTACTCAATAATGGCAGTATGTTGTTGTTATTATTATGGTCCAAATTTGGTCAATATGTGGAACTTTTTGTGTGACTTGGCTTCTAAAACTAAGAATAATTAATGACACACTAAAAATAAGTTAAAAGCAACATACTTTTCATCAAAAATTTTAAAATGGTTATAGCCACTGACACAGAATTCCACCTCTGGGAATCTATTTTAATGGCAGGGAAGACTCTAAATTCAGAAAAAAAATTTCACAGAATAATGGGAACAAAATGTCCAACTATAAGAAAATAGTGGACTATTTTACATGTTTTGTAAACATGTAACAAAATGTGATTACAACATCACGTTCAGTGAAAAATCCCCAAGAAATGCAAATGTATATACAATATTACTATAAATGTTAAGAATCTCTATGGAGCCCGACCAGTGTGGATCAGTGGACTGAGTGACGTCCCATACACCAAGAGGTCTGGTTCGATTTCTGGTCAGGGCATATGCCCAGGTTGTGGACTTGATCCTCAGTAGAGGGCATGCAAGAGGCAGCCAATCTATGTCTCTCTCTCATCGATGTTTCTCTCTTTCCCTCTCCCTTCCTTTCTCTCTAAAATCAATAAAAACATTAAAAAAAAAATTTCTATGAATAAAAGAAAAAAATTGGAAAAACTCTCAAAATGTTAAAATTATGTATGAGTGGTAGAAATACTGATAGCCTTTTCCTCAAATGATTCTTCTCTTTTATGTTTTCTAAAATTAGGGATGAAAAAAACCCATATAAAGACAAGGTAGCAGACAGACATCCCATTTTCATGGATGAGAAGATTTAACATTATTAACATGACAATATTACAACTGATCTACAGATTCAATGCAATCCCTATCAAAATCCTAGAGAGCTATTTTGCAGAAATTGACAAACAGGTCCTAGAATTTGTAGAGAAATAACAATTTGAATAGCCAAAACAATCTTGAAAAAGAAGAAAATTGGAGAGTCAGACTTTCCAATTTCAGAACCTACTACAAACCTACAGTAGGTTCAAGACAATGTGGTATCAGCATAAGAACAGACATAGAGATCAATGGAATAGAACTGAGAGTCCAGAAATAAACCCTTATATTTATAGTCATTTGATTTTTGGCAAGGATGCCAAAACAGTTCAATGGGGTAAAAAAATAGTCTCTTTAAAAAATGATACGGAGAAAAAACTAGATATCCACATGCAAAAGAATGAATTTGGATCCTTAACTCACATTGTACACAAAAATAAACAAAATGGAAGAAAGCTAGAAGAAAAACATAGGAGTAAATTTTTGTGAACTTGGTTTCTTAGATACAGTACCAAAAACACAAATGACAAAAGAGAGATAAATTGTACTTCATCAAATTAGAAAATTTTGTGTGTCAAAGGACACCACCAAGAAAGTGAACAATCCAAAGAATAAGAAAAACATTTGAAAACTATACAAGTAATATACCCAGAATATATATGACAAAGAATATATCCATAATATATAAAGAATGCTTACAACTCAACAATTATAAGAGAAATAACCCAATGAAAATATGGGCAAAGGATCTGCACAGGCTGATATATACAAAGAAAACATACAAATGACCAATAAGCACATTAAAAGATGTTCATCATCATTAGCCATGGGGGAAATACAAATTGAAACTGCAATGGGATACTATTTCACTGAACTCACAAGGATGGTTAAAATCAAACAGATGAACAATAACAAATGTTAGTAAGGATATGAAGAAATTGGAATTCTCATTTTGGATGTTGAAAATACCCTAAAATTCAGAGTGTGTTAATGACTGCCCAACTCTGACTATATTAAAGACTACTGAACTATATACTTTAAATAGGTAGATTTGCGGTACATGTATGTGCCAGGTTTGCTCCTGCTTCAGTGCCTTTGGATTTGCTGTTTTATCTGCTAAAATATCCACATGGCTCACTATTTCACTTTCTTTACTCAAATGTCATCTTTCCTTGAGGCTTCTCCTGGGCACCTAATCTAAAATTTTAATAGCAAACTTTGCCAGTCTCCTCCCTTCCTTGCTTTCCTTTTTCCTAAGCATCGCTGTTATTTGATATAGTACATAATTTACTTCTTTAACTTGTTTATTGTCTCTCACACTAACATGTAACCTTCATTTACATCTTTGGCGTCCCTGATTCTTTTGTTCAATTTAGAACAGTGCCTAGTAGGTGTTCAATAACTATTTTACAAATAAAACTACCACTGTACTGAAGTATCTTGTATAGATAAAAACAGTACTCAGAAAATATTTGAGAAGGATGTCAAGAAGATGCTTTTCTTAAAAAATATACCAAAACACCATTTCTAGCTTAACATTCTGTACTGCAGAACTAAACCAATCAAACCATAAGAAATGTAGAAAAATGTACTGGATCCTTACCTAGGTCAGCTTTTGCCTCTTTTTTCTTCTGAGAGGCCCAACCCACTGTGGAGAGTTTATCTCCTGATTTCTCCTCTAAGCCTCTGTTCAAGCGCCAGATTTTCAGTGTATTGTCATCAGAGCAGGTAGCAATCTAAGGGAGTTAAGAAGTTTTAATCAAAGATTCACAACAAAGTAAAAAGTAGATGTGTCTAAAGGGCTCATGGTTGGAAAATTATTTTGTTTGATATAACAGGACATAGAAAGTGGCATCTGAAAGATCATATATTTCTATTCCTTGCTTTTAGGAATCATTGAAGATTTCCAAAGAAGTAAATTCTCTTTCTTTTTAATGTACATTCTGCTGATTGTCTTTTGTTACCAGTCATTTCTTATTAACCTAAGCTCTACTACAAACCAGGTGCATTTCATTTTATTCTCAAGAAGTTGGGCAAGTCACTATCTTTATCACCTCTATGTAACTATGAAATATTTAATTAAGATACTCTTCTTGCTTTTTCTTAAATGATCAATCAGTGTTATGTCACCAACATTCAATTTCTATGACTTTCTTCTGAATTCTGCATGTTCTGGCTTATTGCTGAAGTAATGGGATCATTTCCAAGATCAGACTTAATCCATGATCCATGACTCTAGTAGGCTGTGACAAGCAGAATGAAACCAATTCTTTGATTTTTTTCCCCAGATAGGTAAAGGAGCAATCTGGGAAAACAAGTTCACTAGGCTGAAAGAAGTTAAAAATAACCTTTGCCCCTTTAAAAATATCTGACCATTCCTGATCTTGGTCCCAAGCCTTTTATGGCAGAGAAAGCCCAGCTCAAAGAGTTTGTGGCAAATGGCCACTGGTACCAGAGCTGTTCCCCAGCATTTGTTTATATAATTTCTCTATTTCAGTCACTAAAGAGATAGAAAAAAAAGAACACACGTTCTCTTAAGTCTTGGCCCCAAGAGACTGGCAGCTTTTTCCTTTCCTTAATGGGAGGCCAAAAGAAGACACACATATTTAACTGCTCAACAAAAAAATGCCTGGAATCTCTAGTTACTCTGTAGTCTATTAACAAGAGTTATTATTTACAGAACACCTACTGTGTGTCTGGCAATTTACATTCTTTATCTTATTTAATTCCCACAATATAAAAATACTTGCATTCAAATAATCTCACCTACAAAATGAGAATTAAGTTATTTGCCCAAGATCACCATAATTGAGCAGCAGATCTAGTAGATCCAAATTTTTCCAATTTCAAATGCCAGATCTTTTTTTTTTTTAAACCATATTTTACCTTTCTAACTCTACACTAGAGACAAAATTATTTCAAAGAACTTTTTAAAAAGGTGGTCATTAGATTAGTATTGGTAAACAACCCTGATACTTCTTTTGAATCTTTTCTGTGCATAGAGATAAGGGCAATATATGATGGTTGCAAAGAGATGACAATTTACTGAATGATTTAAAAACCATCTTAGTAAGTTCTATGACGATACAAAACTCCATGTTAAAAGGAGGTATTTCACTGTAAACACGGAATCTTTTTTTTTTATTAAATATATCTTTATTGATTTCAGAGAGAGGACAGGAGAGGGAGAGAGAGACAGAAACATCAATGATGAGAGAGAGTCACTGATTGAGCCTGCAACCCCCAGGCATGTGCCCTGACCGGAAATCAAAACCCGATCGCCTGGATCCTAGGTCGACACTCAACCACTGAGCCACGCCCAGCCGGGCAACATGGAATCTTAAGAGGAAAAATGTCACTAGTGTATTGCATGTAATTACTGGTAATTAAAATAATGATTTTTGAAAAAGGCCTATCATGAAGCTGACCACAAAAAATGGTTATACAGGGCTAGCAGGGATGCCTGTAGTAGACCAGACCATGATGAGTTTCTGGAAGATAAAAAACTGATGGTAACAACAGGCAACAAAACCTTAAAATGCCAAAATGAGAAAGAGGAAATCTCCACATAATTAAGATTTCCTATAAACCCAGAATAACCCAAAGACTAGAGGCAGTAGGTGCTGGGAGAGTGAGTGGAACTTGGGCTAGTATTATATAAAATCCCCACATATACATGTAGGGATTTATGTTTCTGGCCTTTCTACATTTTGGGGTTTTTAAATTTGTTTTCACTATTAAACATTTCTTTAAATGAGAGTATTTTCTTTTTTCCAGAATGTCTAAAACATTTTGGAACTACTTCTTGTGCAGTTTAGTCACAGATAGCCTAACACTGTAAAACTTTGCACTAAGCATTTTTTAGGCATGTGAAAATCCAAGCGGGACTGTGAAAAACAGTCATGATGTTACCTTCAATACACCACATTTATATGTAGAAAAGTTAAAAAACACACACAAGTTCACACCTTAAATTTTCTTACCTTAGATTTTAAGGTTTAATTTTAATTATGTTAAAAACTTAATTCTATGTTTAGGAAAGGAATGACTCTAGGCAACCAAGAAATCCATCCTTATTCCTTAGTGCATAATAAAATTTCTCTATTGGCAGAGAAAAGTAGAATATGTATGATTAATGCTGATTATAGATCCTGGATGGTCTCTAGAACTTTTAAATCTCTATTTAGCATAAAAGTCTATATAACTCTCAAACTAACCTTGAGAAAACCTAAAAATCTATGATCTACTTTTTAATCCAACTATGGAGATTCATTTACAAACCTTTGTGAAATCTGATGGACACCAGCACACAGATGTGACCTCTTGAGAATGACCCAGGAGCACAGTTGGAGGATGCCAGGGCGTGGACACCTAGTGCACCATCAAAAAGAAACAAGTCAACAGAGCAGTGTTAGGATCCCCAGAAAGAAGCTTTGAATCTCTTCATTTTTGTGCCTTAGAGATCTTCAGGGTTGTTATAAAGGTCCCTAGGCATGCCTAGTTATAACTTAGAAAAAGAATCCCAATGTCTAATGAAAGTATTTTTGTCATTGATATGAGAAAATAGTCAAAGTAAGTAAATAATGAGCTTAGATACCAGTACAGGTCTTATTTCCAATCAGGACTATCTATCTAGCTGTACATATTTTGACTAAAATTCAAGAATGGTGTTGTCCACCTCTTAGCTGATAAACTTTAGAACAGCAGGTTCACCTGCTAGGTAGTGCACATCAAGTAGAATCCTATTTTAACACAGCCTAGACATTTTTAGATCTTCTCTAGCCAGCTACCTCTAGGAATACTACATGAGCTATATCCTGAAGGTACCTGAGACATGCTATTAGCATTCTTGGGACAAAAGGATAGTCTTTCTTCCAAAAGAGGACTCGCTGACTTTTACCAAAGTCCAAAGCTATGCCCCTTCATTTTGAAGGATATAAACTATATTTTACATGGCATTTTGATATCGCTTTTGAAAGAACAATTCCTCCAAAATTTTATTTGTTAATTTGCTTAAAGAAATCTTGAATTTTCAAGTAAGTATTGCCACATTAATAATGTATAAAAAAGAAGGGTCACATTGTAAAGTACTACATATGTGACTATGAATCCTATTTTCCCCCTCATTGGATGCCAATAGTAATATGCATTTGACAGCTGTCTGATTCAAGAGCTCTCAATCCCTTTAGGAGGCCATGGGAAATCAGCACAATATGGAGTACAAACTCACATAACTATTATTAGCACGTGTGTTTGAAAAAGAGAAATTCTCCTCTTCATTTTCCTGAGGCTCTGAATCATTGCTCATTTATATAGAGAAAGTGGAGGCGACTCCGGAAAGAGTATTTGTGACTATGACTAAGTAAACTTAATAGATTCCTCAGATTGTAGTTAAGAGATTTGACACACTGAATCATAAGGTTATCCAACTTATCACCACTCCTCTCTTGGGTTAAATGGCCCATATATAATGATTCAAAAAGGAAAAGAAGACGAAGAACAGAGTCTACTTTGCTTTGCAGTGTAAATGAAAGTTTAACAGAAAGGAATCTTTTTCTGAGTACTATCTAGAAGGATTTCACTTACTGCCTACTCCTACAATGCCACAGACAGCAAAAACTTATTCTCCTATGAGTTAGCATATTTCAAAAAAGACTTTCAAGAAAGTCTTTAACTATCTCAATAGCCACAGTAGTTCTCCTTCCTCCTCTACTCATGGGCCCAGCCCATTAAGTTTCTAATCACCCAGGAACCAAGCAGGTCTGACGGGAGCAAGTTTAAAGGAAAAGGAAACCCTCAAGTCCTCCTGATCCTCCCCAGCAGAGGCACATTATTCTACTACACTGGTTTACTCTGCTTGTTGCCTCTAGCTTTTCATTTCATGATACTGCTCCTTCCTCAGTTTCCAAGGTATTACAATACTCAGGAGAACCTAAACATGCACTCCAAGATCAAAATAAATTTCAAGAAAAATCAAACATCTACCAGTAGAATGTATGTACATTACTATATCTATAGGATCAAAGGGAAAAAACAAAGGATAGACCACTTGAAAAGACTTTTTACAATTTGGTAAGGTAGGAATAATAATAATGACAATGAAAGTCAGTATCTGTTGGATAATTACCATGAGCCAGGCACTTTACAGAGCATTAAAAGTGAAGAGAAGGATTCTCAAAAAGTTAAACAGAATTAATTACCGTATGACCCAGCAATGCTACTCTTATATATATATATTCATTCTCCCAGGAGAACTAAAAGCATGTTCAAACAAAAACTTGTACATGAATGTTCATAGTAGTTTTATTCATAAAGCCAAAGAGTAGAATAATTCTAATGTCTACCAACGGGTGGATAAATAAAATGTGGACTATCCATATAGTCCATATGGCTGAAGGAATATTCAGCCATAAAAAGGAACAAAGTACTCATACATACAATAACAATGACAAATCTTAGAAACATATTAGATGAAAGAGCTCAGACATTAAAGATCACATATTGTATGATTCCACTTATATAAAATGTCCAGAATAGGCAAATCCATAGAGACAGAACATAGGTTAGTGGTTGCCAGGGGTAAGGGGAATGGAAAGAGTCTTAAAGGGTATGGGATTTCTTTCTAGAGCAATAAAAATGTTTGGAAATGAGATGGTGGTGATAGTTGCATAATATTGTGATTATATTCAAAATCACTAAAATGTACACAATATAAGGACTAAAATGGGGAATTTTATATTATATGAATTCTATCTAAATAAAAAAGTGAAGGGAGGGGCATGTTGTGGCTGTAATAACTAATGTCTGATAAGTATTTATGAATGTAGGTTAGAACTATCCTAGTATGGTATGCTTCAAGGAAGATTAGTTTCTTCTAATGAAACTCAGGTGGGTTTTAAATGCTTCATTTTTATTCAAATAAATTTTTATTTACTGTCACTTCAAATTTAAAGCCTTCCTCTACTTTTAAAAAGGAAGAGAAGACTATTAAGCCCAAAAGACATTTACATCTATTCATTCTGGGGATGGTCAAAACACAGAAAATTGTCCTCTTACATATTCTACTTGTTATAAAGACTTTAACTCGAGGCATAAGAATACCATAGTTAAACTCCCAGAACTATGAAGGTACCTCTAGTAGTAACTGGCTCTAGCCTACAGACCTCATAAAACATTTTATATACGTAAACATACAAAAAAGATCATCACCTTTCCTCAAAAAGTCCCCTTACTCTGCCCAGTGAGAAACCAAATCTAATCTTTATTTCTGCCATGAGATCATTTACACTTCCTAAAGTGTCAGGCTCAGTGTTTCGCCAGTCAGCGGTACAATGACGGTGCCAAATCAGTTTATTTATAACCACTTCAATACTATTCAGTGGCTGTATCAGAAATGAACCAGGGAAGGGGGGAGTATGGGTGATGGTGGGACAAGGGGTAGGAAATTAAAAAGAAAAAATACATTATTAAATATTTTTAAGTCTTGGAAGTCAGTATCAGAGAGTCTATATTACATCTCCCCTTTGCTGAGCAGCGGTGAGAATGAAAAGGCCATTCTCTTGTCTCAATATCTAAAAGTTCCGTCTTTCACTCTATCTTCTTATGCCCATGGACTTTGTAGTGTAGAAAAAAATACCAACACTTGAGAGAACTCCGACTTCTTGGAAATGTAGCAGAGTTATAAGACAACCTAACAGGCTGGATACTCGGCTTGTGTCAAATTTTCTTTTAAAACCCCAACCCCCTTGTTTTATCATGGAAAAGAGAAAAAAAGTCCAACCCCCCTTGTTTCCATGAGGGGTTGGGGTTTTAAAACAAGAGAAACTGAGCCACCCCACTAGGCTAATTCAATTTTAGGAGCAGTAAGCTTGCCAGGATCTCAAATATCAGAGTCTGCACACTGAGTTATGTGTGGACAGCAGGAGAACATCATGTCTGACCCACGTCATTCAGCACTAACATGTGACCCAGCCTAGAAATTCAGAAAGAGTCACCCATATACGTGATAACCACTAATCAGTTATCTGAAAATGGGTTACTAACAACAGCCAAGTATCTTTACTGCATGTCTCTAAAGAAAGGGAGCATCCCTCAACCCTCATTCCCTGAAACAACAACTAAAAAGGCCTCTGTACTAGTGAAGAGAGCTAGGGAGTAACTTTGTAAGAATTGGCAATAAAACTGTATCTATATCTTAATTATGTATGTAATTAAAAAACTGATTTTAAATGATTTTTTTAAATGATCAGGGCATAAGTATTTTTTATATAATCATTTATTATGCTTTTTGGTATGTCTGTATTTTATTTTTTTTTTCAAGAAGAAACTTAAAAAGATACAGACTTTGGTAGGAATAAAATCCTCCTGCTAAGTTGGGAGTCAAAGTTAGAGAAAAGAATATAGGTAAGACAGTGAGGGAAGGAAAAAGGGAAAACCAAAAGACAGTAAAATAAGACACATAAGACCAAATTTGAAACTCAAAATTTTAAATATAGGACAGAAGTATTAGTGCTAGTGACACATATTGTTAAAGTTTAAAGCTCAAGTCAGAAAAATTTTATAGACAGGAAGCCAGGTGAAAACTTTCATCACAAGATGGGGGTCTCAAATGTATGTTTTATAAGCAAATTTTCATTTAAAAATACAACAAATAAAAGAAATTTATTATAGAATAAGAGGCAAGCCAAACACAAAAGCATCTTGGATAGAACAGTATCTCCACCTTGTGACCATCTAAGGATATTGTTACTAAAAGCTTTTGATAAGGTAAAGCTGCATTTTTGCAACTCTAGATATATAGAGAAATAACTTTTTAGTACTTCCCCCAGGACCACAGGAAATTAAGCTGGAGAATTCATACCTGACAGGTTCTACCCTTGTCTTAAAACATTAAAGATTATGACCTCCTAGAGGCTGGCGGGACTAAAAATGATACAATTTCTCTTGAGAAGAGATTTGAGAATTTTGAACCTATGGACCTATAAAGTGTTAGACATTATGAGTCTAAAACCCAAAACGTGTGAATTCTGATCATTCAATTCACCAATGTCAAGGACATTTATGAAATTACACAGCAACCTAGAAGATAATTAATTTTTAGCCCTAGGAAAACAATGCCTCAATGTTCTTCTCTCTTGAACTCCCAGACATTTCTATAATTAATTATTCCCACAAGAGCCATTTTTCAGTGGTCAGCAAGTGCTACTTGAGTTGAGTATAACATTTCAATTTTCTCCACTGGGCTTCAAACGGACAGCTTTAAATTTCTTAGCTTACAGTAGTCATTTTAGAATCACTTACTTAAAAAGGAAAAAATAGAGAGTAAAGAACATAATGAGTATACAAATGTTTTTGAATGTCTTGAGCAAGGTTCTATGGCTGATTTGGGTATAGATTGAATCCTAGAGATTAAAATATTAAATGTATTTTGAATGAGAGTTTGAAAACACAGGGCAGAAATGCAGTACAGCCTGTTTTTCCAGGAAGCAAGACAAAGTAATTAAGGTTCTTTCCAGTCTTCTGAAATGTGTATTTCCTGATAATATAAAATTATTGGAAGATATGAATTTCTAATTTCTGAGAGGCTCTGCCTATGAAAGTGTGACCATATTTTGTGACAAAAGAATGAGGTTTTCCCTATACTAAAATGCAAGAAGCAACTTTTACTGAACATCTGATGTAGAAAAAGTTAATCATTTATGTGATTACAATAAATTTACCTCATCTTGGAAAAAAGAATACTTTAGTCTCACGTTGGTGGGGGAAATTTAGCAACTTACCTTCCAGATATAGGCAGCTTCATCACTTGAGCCACTGACTAAAAACTGGTCATCTGGACTAAGACTGGATTTAATATAAAAGGTAGAGTTCTGGTGTCCATTGAAGACAGCCACTGCCAGAGGAAAAAAAATCAGTGTATTGATTATTGAAGTAGATGGTCCAGCTACATTCACCAAATAAAGCTAGACAGTGTCAGAAAATAAAGGAAATTCTAGAAAGAGGCTATATTATATTAGGTCCAATCTCATGATCTGAACCTATGGAAAGAACTAGATTCTCAAATCCAAGAAGCAAACAGAACACCTAGTTATCTCAATCCAAAGAGGCCCTCTCCAAGGTACACTGTATTAAAACTGTTAAAAATTAAGGACAGCCCTAGCCAGTTTGGCTCAATGGTTAGAGCGTCGGCCCCAGACTGAAGGGTCCTGGGATCGATTCCAGTCAAGGGCATGTACCTTGGTTGCAGGCTCATTGCAGGAGGCAACCAATCAATGTGTCTCACATCGCTGTTTCTCTCTCCCTCTCCTTTCCACTCTCTCAGAAAAGTAATGGAAAAAATATCCTCAGGTGAGGGTAAAAAAATTTTTAAAAATTAATGACAAAAAATTCTCAAAGCAGCCAGGGAAAAGAAGGAAGTAACCTACAAAGGGAAACCCATCAGAGTATCACCTGACTTTTCAGCAGAAACTCTATAAGCCAAGAAGAGAGCAGAACCAAATATTCAAATGTCTGAAAGAGAGGAATTACCAGCCACGAATAGTATGTCCAACAAAATTATCCTTTAAATATGAAGGAGAAATAAAGACTTCCCAGACATACAGAAGCTGAGGGATCTTATTACCAGAAAACCTCGACTGCAGGAAATACTCAAGGGAGTTTATCCAAAACAAAGAACACAAGGTCACAACACTATGAGTGAGATCACCAAAGCCTTACAGGATAAACAGATAATTTGTGACAACAAAAACATAAAAAGTAAAGGTCTGAACTGGCAAAAGGATGAAGATCAGATGCACTCAAAAGAAAAAACTACTATATATACGCAACTTTATTTTTTATAAACCCAATAACCACACACACAAATCCCCAAACCAGGACATATAGCTTAAAAAAGAGGAAACAGAGGAAAGAAGTATGGAATACCATCAAACAAAAACAAGAGGCAGAAACACAAAGGAAAAGAACCAAGGAGCCACAGAGCTACCAAAAACCAAAAGATTAAATGGCTATAGGAAATCCTCATCCATCAATAATTACCCTAATTATAAATGGTCTGAATTCTCCAATAAAGAGGCACAGAGTAGCAGAGTGGATCAAAACCCAAAACCCAACCATATGCTGCTTATAAGAGAAACATCTAAGCTGCAAAGACAAGGCAAATTCAAAGTAAAAGGGTGGAAAAGGACTCTCCAAGCAAATAACATCCACAGAAAAGCAGGTGTAGCCATACTTAAACACAATCATAGGTGGGGACTTTAAGAGTCCATTGACAGCTCTAGTTAGATCAACCAAAAAGAAAAACAAAGAAATATTGGCCTTAAATGAAACGCTAGACCAAATGGATATAATTGACATTTACAGAGTCTTTTGTCCCAGAACATCATATTATACATTCTTCTCCAGTGCACATGGAACATTCTCAAGGACAGACCATATGTTGGGTCACAAAACTAGCATCAACAAATTCAAAACTGAAATTATACCAAGCATATCCTCTGATGACTATGCCTTGAAATTAGAAATCAACCACAAAAAGGAAGTGATGATAAGCCTTAAGTTATATTGCATGGGTAAATGTTGTTAATATCAGTCATAATTCTACTCCCTATCTTAAAATGTTTGCTACAGAAATAACCAAATTTTCCTGTCAACTGCAGGTTAACCAGATCTTTCACCATGATATTTTAAGTCTATTGTCATTTACAGACAGTTATTGTTTTACTCTGATGCTTTTGCAAAATGTGCTTCATCTTCAAAGAGATACATGGAAAGTACTTTGGACTATTTTTTGTTGTTGTTAATCCTGACCTGAGGATAGTTTTTCCATTAATTTTTTTAGAGAGAGTTGGGGGAGCGGGGCACAGAGAGAGAAACACCAATGTGAGAAAGACACATTGATTGGTTGTCTCCAGGCTGCAACTGAGGTACAGTTGCCCTTGACTGGGAATTGAACCCTCCACCTTCAGTCCACAGACTGATGTTCTAACCATTGGGACAAACCGGCCAGGGCACAAAGTACTTTGGAATACAGGTTTCTAGTAACTTTCAGATCATGCTATTGAATTAGGTAAGAATTTATAGAACTCTAATGGAGAAATTGATGGCTTCATAAAACTGTTAACAAAAGATCAAGATCAACAAGAATTAGCCCGGCCAGGCGTGGCTCAGCGGTTGAGCATCGACCTAGGATCCAGGCGATCAGGGTTCGATTCCCAGTCAGGGCACATGCCCGGGTTGCGGGCTCGATCAATGACTCTCTCGTCATTGATGTTTCTATCTCTGTCTCTCCCTCTTCTTTCCTCTCTCTGAAATCAATAAAGATATATTTAAAAAAAAAGAAAAAAGATCAACAGGAATTACATGAGACTAACTGAACTAGTGAAGATGTTATAATTTTTATAACTTTTTATTTGAAATATTATTGGTTCTTTCATAATACTTGTTTTTCAGATATAAGGACATGTCTTTCCCCTCTGAGCTACCTATGACCCATAGCAATTTGGTAAATTATACCTTTCTAAGCAGAATGGAAACATTTATCTTTTTCTTCCTACCTGATCCCTACAGAATTTGGAAAATCCTAGTATTCTTATTTCCATGCAATATAGTTATTTACATACATTCACTAAGAATCTGTTCTCTTTGTAACAGGACACAATTGGAAACATTAGTTATATTACCAAGGATTTGACTAGAACATCATGTTTGAGAGACTTGCAGACTCAGAAATGACCAGACAGTTTTAATGAACTATGATTAACTTTACAGGTACCAAATAAAGCCCCTGTGGGGAAAAAAAATTCAGCCTGATACCCTGCTTATAGGATTCAACAGCCTTAACAGCTTAACAGGTGGGCAAGGAAGGTTACTTCCTGCAAGGAGCAGGGAACTCAGGATATTTTGGGGAACTGAAGAAGAGAGGAATTAACCCATATCTAAAGGTATCACAGGTGAAGTCAAATTGCAAGTCTTTAGGTTGGCTTTTTAGCTTTGAGAGGCTGTTAAAAGTTCAATCTGGAGATTCCTTATGAAAAGTTCTAGCAAAGCAGATTTAAAAGAGCCTATAAGATTGACCAATTGCTATTTTTGATGCATTTATATAAATAATCAGACCAAGTTTATTGGAACTAGACTTACTTTGCAAATAAATTAAGTTGTAATTTGGGTATCTTTGATAAAAATGAGGGTGATTTTAGAGAAAAAAATTTTTCTAAAAAAAATATATCTTTATTGATTTCAGAGAGAGGAAGGGAGAGAGAGAGAGAGATAGAAACATCAATGATGAGAGTCACTGATGTGCTACCTTCTGCATGCCCCTTGCTGGGGATCGAGCTCGAAACCCTGGCATTTGCCCTGACCGGAATCGAACCTCGATCTCCTAGATCATAGGCTGATGCTCAACCGCTGAGCCACAGCTGATAATTTTTAAGAAACAGAAGATTCAGGAAGTTTTTCTTGTTACCTCCCCATTATCTGCCTAAAAGAATTTAGATAAGGGCCTGTTCCAAGATAACAGCACTATTATCAGAGGTGTCTATAAAGAATATAGGTTAGGTGTGGTGGAGGAAGACTGGAGATCAGAGTCTGCTGTGTCTCATTGTCTCTATATGGCCCAGCAGCAAACATTTGTTTACCAAATATTTGCTTTTCCATCTCCATGTGAATTGCCCTCCTCCCCTCTGAAGTCCCAAACCACTACACCCTTCTCCTTAGCTCAAGATGGTATATAAGCTCAACTGCCTGATTTGTCGTTGCCCCCTCCACATATTCTTCTGGAACCCCTGTACGTACAAAATTAAATGGAATTTTCTCCTTTTAATCTGTGACATGTCAATATAATCCTTAGAACCTAGAAGGGTAGAGGAAAATTTTTTCCTCCCTGACAAGAAATAAATTCCCACAAAACAAACAGGCTCCTTTATTCTGAATACAACTCCAAAACTGTAACTGTTCATCTTTCTCAACTCTAAACTATGAGTGGAAAACTATAGAGCAAATTTCCCACTAAACCTATAAGTATTTATTGCCCTCTGCTGGTGTAAGAAAGGCTAGCATAAAGTACACTATTAATGTTTCAAACCATGCAAAAAATCCTTCTAAAACCTATATTGGGCTCACTTTAATTTTTCTTTGATGATTTGGGTTCTTAAAATGCTTCACTAAAGTACTTTAGAGTCATCCTTATGAACATCGCTTAGTATAACAAAATATTGTGAATTAAAAGTACAGGACAATAAGTATTAAGCCCAGGAGGACCCTTTCTGAAGTTTTGAAAAAGGCAAGCAATTACCAGATGTGTCACAAGTAGACATATGTTATTCAATTTTAAAGAAATGTTATCTATCTGTATCCTTATCATTCTATCTACAAGAGACAATTAAATTATTTTAGGAACACAGGAAAAAGGTTGTTAAATTATTAGTCAAGTGGCCTTTGGCATATCTATTCAATAGCAGAGAGACAAACGAACTCAAGGTTCCTTTTAGTGCCACACTATAACAAAATGCTAACTAAATTAGAAGTTGTCTAAGTTCTGATACTATTCAGGAAAACAGCAAAGTAAGTTATAAAACCTCTTTCCTTATCTAAATACTCCTGTTCTTATTTAGACAACACCAGACCTATTTCAGAGTGCTGGAAATGCCAACTGTAATACTGCCACTGGTAGATATTAAGTCCTAATAATGGCATGGGGGCAGTCTTTGGTAACAGCCCTGCTAAGTTCTGTACTCCTTGAGATTTGTTTATCTTACTTTAGCGGGAACTGAGTAGATCTGGGGATTGGTCACAGAATTCAAAGTTTATAGGAAGACCCAGGTTACTAATATGTAGCTTGCTTAAGTAATTAATGTTCTTGAAATTATGTAACCCAAATAATCCCCTTAGAGTATGCTTGAGAAACCTTGGTTTCTTTTGAAAAATGTTATATTTATCAGCTTTAAATATCAGATTCTACTTTTAATTTTCTTTTTTTCCCCTTTTAATATGTGTTTATTGATTTCAGAGAGAGGAAGGGAGAGGGAGAGAGACAGAAACATCAATGATGAATCAGTGATTGGCTGCCTCCTGCACGGCCCCTACTGTGGACCAAGCCCACAACCTGGGCACGTGTCCTGACTGGGAATTGAACCGTGACGTCCTGGTTCATGGGTCAACGCTAAACCACTGAGCAACACCAGCAGGGCTCTACCTTTAATTTTCTTGAAGGAGAAAAAAAAAGGTGAGAGTGGAAGAAACATAAAAGAGGCAACTGTTCAATACTGAGAAGGCCAAGGTAGGTAGGAATTATTGTGGAGGATTAAAAAACTCAGCTCCCTAATTTAATGAATAACCCCCAAGTAGAACAAAAGCTGAGCAGAACAGCCTTCCCTGTCCCACAATAATTTAGATAATTCATCGGTAGAACTAATCAAAGATCCTAAAATCCTCATGTCTTAATAAATTTGGCTTAGAAAAGAACCAACATTAAATTATCATTAACAAAAAAGTCTGTATTAGTTTCTGGGTAAGAATTTGAATAACTAAGATCTTACCTGGAGAAGTCCTTAATCCAGTCATATTGAACATGTAGATGTTGTCATCTGTGCAGTTAGCAAATAAAGTAGAGCCAGTGGAATCCAAAATCAGACTTGAGTATCCTGGAAAAAGGAAACTTTAGTTAGCATGTCCTGGTGACAGTGAGTAGAAATGAGGTAAAAACACTGAGGCCAAAGGATCATTCCACAAGAAGAATCACTAAAATTCTTCTCCAAAATATATACAAACCAAAAATATTCATTTTTATTTTTTGAACTCTAAAAAGATATAACCACATATATTAGAGTTTTTCAAGTCTATGTTGCTGAAAATTAGGCCGATATTTATTCCACAATTTTAAAAAAACTTACCCCCCCTCAAAAAATGTCCTACAAATCCATGAAAAGGCTTACCTAGTTTTCGAGTGCTGCTACCTGGGTACAGGAAAGACTTGGATGCTATGGGTTCTTGTCGATAAGCAGTATAATTCTTACGTAAATCCCATATTTTAATTACCCTAAAAATCAAGGTAAAGAATAATTATTTTGTAGTCCTTCTCCTACCCCAACCAGTTTCAACTATATTGAACATGAAATGACTTTTAATCTAACTCCTCTGGCACATGAACAGTAACAGTTGAGATATCCCATTGGGAAACAAACTGAACTGTCTCATACTGCTGTCTCTAATATCAGGCCTACAATTCTGGCAGAGCGGAAACAGATGTGATCTGACCCAGTGATGGGTTACCTTGAGTTTACATCAAGGAAGCGGAAAAGGAAGATGAAGGTTAGGTGCTGATAGTCATTGTTTCATTGTTTGCAGAAAAAAAAAAACACTTCCTAAGCTTTTAACACTGTGCATGTAACCTTTTGACAGCATAAGTAACAAGTTCTGTCCATATGGTTATATCTCTATATATAACTCCTTAAGTAATCTAAACAAATTTTCCTGTGAAATGAAGTATTTTTTCATTTCATCTATTGCGATAATTGTCCTAATCCTCTACATCTAGTTTGTAGGCAACCTGAAAACACAAGCTTAGTCTAACAGGGCAGTATCCTTGGAAACAAACAGAGCAAGCTCTCACCTATATCTTCTGATAACAACAGATAACCTTTAGATAATGCTCCATCTGTGCCTCAGAATTTGGTCCACAGAAGAGTTTCAGTGTCCAGAAGACAGGCACAATGGAAATCCTAAAAGTTGTCATCATCGTTTTAAATTATGTTTTTTGAAGGGAAGGATGTCTTGGGAAACAATGAACAAATAAGGGGACAAAGAAGGGTGCTTGAAAAAGAAAGAGTCCTTATACTCAAATAACTTATATTCTAACAAAGCAGCCAATCAATAAGTACCACAAAATTATCTGGAAGCCAAAAATTCAGACCAATTGTGGATGGCAGGTATGTGAACTGAAAGTCATTAGGCCTTACTATCAATCTAGTTAGAGCACTCCCAGAAGTGCCAATTATATGCCCAGAGTCAGATTTCTTCTTTTAGGTTATTACTAAATCTGAGAAGATAAAATCCAAGATAGCAGAAATTTTACTTCTCAAAAGAATCACTGACTAAATTATACTGCATAGACAAGCAAGTTTCCCATCCAGCTTCTCTATAATAGGACCAGCCAACATCGCTCATATGTGCTAGACAATGTGCTAAGTGCGATACACATGTATTATCTCACTTAATTATTTGAGCAAGAGTCCTAACTAGATATTTTCCAGTGTGATCTGTAGGTCCTCTTCTCAGCTGGGTATTCACTATGTTGAAAGTTAAAAGCACACAGGTTCAATTATAATGGGACCAGGTGACTTCCCCATCACAGTTCATGAAAGAGACCTTATCAAAAGAACGAAGAAATAGAGACTCTCACCCATCCACGGCTCCTGCTGAGACTAATGTATTCTCATCTTGAAAGAGGACCACAGTAACACTCTGCTGGGAATCCTAATAACACAAGGAAGAAAAAGAAAAGGGACAAAGACTATCTTGGATATCACAATCTTCACCATCAAGAGACCAAGGTGCTAAAATGGCTTTTTTTCTCCCAAACTCTGAGTTAGACTAAATTTCCCTCTTCAATCCTAATCAGTGCTGACCAAGAAGTAATTTTAGCTAGGAAATAAACTAAACATCATAAAGTTACAGTATACTGTGGTAACACTTTGACTCACACTTATGAAACAGATTGGTTATTAAAAGGTTTAACTACTGGCTCTACTTAGAACCAGACCTACTAATAAGCTGCATATCCTTAGGAAACTAATTTAACTTTCCCGTGCCTGTTTCATCTATAAAATGTCACCATCTACCTAGATTATCATGTAAGTGTCTAAAGATGTACCGATGAAAGATGATTACATACTCTGAAAAATTTAAAGGTGCTCAATAGAGGTTTTATCTCTTAATTGCTGTTGACAGGTTTTCTTGGCTCAGAATATGATTAAATGTCTGAAATGTTACTCATTTAACTTCATCTGGCCTCCAAAGACCTCATGCTAAACCTTGCCAGTTTCCCTTCTTGCTTGTGTCATGTTCATGGTATGCAATTTGAAGTCCTAATGTTTTAGCGACCACACCTTCCCCCAAAATATTAAGTTGGATCCTACAGACCAGGAGTATTAGAAAAATAAACACATTAAAGTATGAGAAATGGTGATTTATTTTTTAAGAAGAGAAGATGTATTCTGGGCATTGAGCTTTTTTTTTATCAGATGCTAGAGAGGTACCATATGAAAACAACAGGGGTTTCTTTCCAACAGAAACCGTGTCACAGTTCTTAATATACTTCTTCAAATTTCTCCCCCTTTCTTAGTGAATCACACTACATAGATAAGCGCATGCATGAAGATCCTAGGGATGCAGCTCAGGAAGCTGAATTTTTAACATGCTCTCCAGGTCCCTCTGTTGCAAACTAGGTTTTGAAAACCACTACGGTAGGTATTAAATTAGCATTAAGCAATAAACCTACTGATGTCAAGAGGAAATGAAGATTTTCGTTCGCTTAATCTAGAGTTCCTATTTTATGCCTAACACATTCCCTAAATGAGATTTTACTGTTAAGATCTGCACACATGTATACAGCTATAAAACCTTACCACAGAAGGAGCAAGTCCTTTTGAATTCTGTTTCTTCTTAGGTTTTGAAGGGGTTTGCTTGTCTAAGGTATTGTGAGCACCACTGATCTGATTCACTTGCCTATAAAATCCATCTGAAAGATATTCCGAGGAAATTTATTTAGTTTTCAGAACTTTACTCCTATGCTGAATGTAATATTTATATATAAGATCTCAAAATTAATTCTTCATTAGATTAGTGAAATTAGAAGCCAGCAGTGCTACCACACTACATCTTTTGTGTTGAGATTATAATGCATAAAAAAGAAATAAGCACACAGATGTTTATAGCAACTTTATTCTATATCACCAAAACATGGAAACAACCAAGATGTGCTTCAGTATTTGAATGTATGAATAAACTGTGGTATACTCAGACAATGACATATTATTTAGTGCTACAAAGAAGTGAGCTACCAAGTAAAAAAAAGACACGGAGGAATCTTAAATGCTACTAAGTAAATCTTAAATATTACTAAGTAAAAAAAGGCAATGTGATAAGGCTACATACTGTAATTATGACATTCTGGGAAAGGCAAAACCATGGAAACAATAAAATGATCAGTGGTTTCGAGGGATTAGGGGGAGGGAAGGATTAATAGGTGGAGCACAGAGTATTTTTAGAACAGTGAACTATCCTGTATGATACTAAAGTAGTAGATACATCATTATATACTTGTCAAAACCAACAGAATACACAATACTAAGAGCGAATCCTAATGTAAAGTACAGATAGACCTTGGGTGATAGTGAGTGATATATCCATGTAGGTTCATCAGCTGTAACAAATGTCCAGCTCTGGTGTGGGATGTTAGTGGGAGAGGCTGTTTGAGGTGGGGCACATCAGTATAGAGAGAACGCTCTATACTTTCTGCTCAATTTTGCTATGTATCTAAAACTGCTCTAAAAAATAGTCTGTTATAATTTTTTTTTAAAGGGAAGTAAGCAGTGAGATGATCATTAGTTTCTGCTTAATGGCATCATTGGGCAAGGTGACCATAATTATATTTAATCTAATATAATTCTTTAAAGCCAAAAAATTATAAATTAAAAGATTATTTACTGCCCAGCCAGGCATGGCTCAGTGATTAAGCGTCGACCTAGGATCCAGGCGATCGGGGTTTGATTCCCAGTCAGGGCACACACCCAGGTTGCGGGCTCGATCCCCAGTCGGGGGCGTGCAGGAGGCAGCCGATCAATCACTCTCTCATCATTGATGTTTCTATCTCTCTCTCCCTCTCCTTTCCTCTCTCTGAAATCAATAAAGATATATTTTTTTTAAAAAAAAGATTATTTACCAATGAGCCCATGAATTAACTATCTCAAATTCCATCAATCACTTAGATAAACAGCAATATAGTTAAGAAGACAATGAGGTAAACACAGGTTAATACTTGCAACAACCACTAAGATGAGAATCAGAACAGCAAGCAGAAATAAAGAGTTATGAACATGTGCCCCCTGGTGGTTATTAAGTGAAATGATAAACCTTTTATTCAAAATAATTAAGTATGGGGACAGCCCACATTTATCAAAATTAAAATGGAACTAGACTACCTTTTTTGTTGCACCTGGTGTCCCAGACCATAATGTTGCCATCTCTTCCACCTGTACAGAAGACAGCTGTGGGGTAATAGTTTATAAAAACGTTAATAAAACTGGTCAATGACATAGACATTTCAATGTAATTTTCCTAAAGTGCCTATTATATGCTAGGTTCTACAACTGGCACTGGAGATTAAAAATAAAAAATATATAGCTCAACAAATAAGAGAAAACAAAGCTGTGAAGGGAAAGAATTACAAAAAACTCAAAACACATGTTAAATGCTAAACAAAAACTTTATAAAATAATCCGTGTAAATTTTCTTAAAACCACATAAGACACTATACATAAAGTTATAGTAAGAATAATGATAAACAAGCAATAACCAAAATATATCGAGTGCTTACTGAGTGCTATACACTATCCTAAGTGCTTTATAGAAATTATCTCCATCTTGTTATCAACCCGACTAGTGGGTATTATTATCCCCATTTTAGATGAGAAAACTAAGGCACAGAGAGAATGAGTAACTTCCAAAGGTATTCTTGACAGTATGAATCCAAAGCCCATACTTCAAACCTCCAAGCTATACTGTCTCAGTATAAAAATATGGGCTGGATCCATACAAAATTTGTGAAAGGGGTTGCCTCTGAGGATGGAAGGAGGGCAATGGGATTGGAGAAGAAAACAGAACTTCAAAACAACTCTGCTTCCTGTATGGAAGAGCGGACACTTACCAAACCAATCCACCTGCATTAGCTTTTAAACTCTGGAAAAAAAATATAAAAAATGACCTGAGGGCTCTATAGAGACTGAACAAAAACATGCAATTTTTGGAAAAGAGTCAACAACTGAAGCAAGTGATTGGCTTGGGGTAAGTTACTGGTCTTTTGTGGTTTTTACCTTAGGGTAGCCAGTGGCAAGCAGCTAGAATGCCAGTAGACAAACTTGCCATCTTTCAAGCCAGAGAAACTCGGAAAAGGAGATGTGGGGCAACAAGAGCTGCCAGAATGAGGGAAACCCTAGAGGAAGCTGGGGAAAGGGAAACCCTAATTCTGTGTTTAAACTCAGTGTAAGTCTCTGGCTGATCGCCGAACTATCTATGAAGGGGAAAACTAAAATCAGCTTCAACTAAGACTTAAATTACTGAACAGAATTGAGATCCAACCCACTGCCCTCTTGCAGTGATAGTGATAGTCTGGAATTTTACCCTTAACTCAGTTAACTGACCATTAAAACAAAAACATCAATTCTTTCCTACTCAATATAACAGAATCCAGAGTCCAACATACCATTCACAATGCCCAGGACATAACCTAAATTATTTGACATATAAAGAGTCAGAAAAATGAGTCATTCTCAAGGGAAAAGAAATCAACAGAGGCCAAACTTGAAACAACTCATATGTTGCTTTATCAGATAAGGTTGTAAAGCAAGTATAACTATGTCAGGTGAAGTAAAGAAATGACATTTACAATCATTGAAAAGATGAGAAATCTCAGCAGAGGGAGAACTTAACAAAAAAAGAAAATTTTAGAACAGAAAAACAATTTCTGAAATGACAAAATTTACTGGAAAAGATTAAGAGCAGAATGAAGAGAACAGAGGAACAGTCAGTGACCTTGAAGACAGAGTAACAGAGATCATTCAATTTGAAAATAAGATTAAACATTACACCAAGTGAAGAAAGCCAGTCACAAAAGACCACATATTACATAGTTCCCATTTATATGAATGTGCAGAATAGGCTAATCTATGGACACAGAGAGTAGTTTAGATTGTGTATGGCTAGGAGGCAGATGGAAGGTACTGCTGATGGATTCTGATTTTTTTCTGGGCAATGAAAATGTACTAAACAGACTGTGGTGATGGTTGTACAACTCGGCAAAGTAAATTAAAACCAACTGAAATGTACACTTTGAATGGGTGAATTTTATGGTATGTTAACTATATCTCAAATTTAAGAAAATTGGGGGGAAAAAGCCTCAAAGATTCATGGGACAATTTCAAAAAGTCTAATATATGAGTAATTGGAGTCCCACAGGAGAGGAGAGAAAATTGGGTAGGAAAAGTATTTCAAGAAAATAACAGTAGAAAACTTCAAAATTCAGTTAAACACATTTGTGAATTTACACATACAAAAAGCTCAGCAAGCCTCAAACAGAGAAGCATATATAGACACATCATAGTTAAACTGCTGAAAACCAAAAATAAAGAGAAAATCCTGAAAGAGGTCAGGAAAAACAATACATATAGAAAAATGATTTGAATGACCACAGATTTCTCAATAGAAACCACAGAAGACAGTGGAGCATCTTCAAGTAACGAAATGAGAAAAAAAACACCTGTCAGCCCAGAATTTTAACAGAATATCCTTCAGAATGATGATGAAATAAAGACATTTTCAGATAAAGGGAAAACAAAGGGAATTTATTACAACCAGGCACATTACAAGAAATGTTAAAGAAAATGTTAATATTCAGGCTGAAAGGAAATGATATCAGAGGACAGGGAAACATAGATATTACAAGGGGAAAATCATGAGTTCAGTTTTGAATAAGTTGAATTTGAAGAAGTTGTTAAGGCTGGAAATACAACCTGGTTTAGTACAAGTGTAGTGAAAAACAAAACAAAGCTGGAATAGACCAAGCTGTTCAATAAGGTCTGAACAATTGAAAAGAAAAGAAGGCCCAATACCTAATCCGGGGCTATGGAAAACTTCAAGTTAGGTAAAGAAGTGGCATTCACCAAAGCAATTATGAAGGAATAAACAGAAAGAATGAGAACCAGTGGTAGTGAGGTCACAAATTCCAAGGAAGAAAGAAATATAATTTTTAAAAAATGGTCAGAAGTGTCAAACATTACACAAGAAAGGCTGATTTCAGGAAGAAAGCTGAGAGTGAAAAACAGGTTGAACCAAATTGAGATAAGGAAATTTAATCCTCTTCCGATTACTCTTAAGAAACTTAGAAGAGACAGGAAATATGAAAGGATAATAGCTAATGAACACAAGGTTAAAGTGTTTTTTGAATAGGCCACAGATATGCTTGAGTCTTTACTATGAAGGAAGAGCCAATAGAGCCCTGGCTGGTGCGCTTAGTGGTTAGAGCATCAGCCCATGCACCAAAGGGTCTCTGGTTCAATTCCTGGTCAAGGGCATGTACCTGGGTTGCAGGTTGAATCCCTGGCCCTGGTCAGGGTGCATGCAGGAGGCAACTGATGTTTCTGATTTTTCTCTCTCCCCCCTCCCTCACACTCTCTCTAAAAAATCAATGGAAAAAATGTTCTTGAGTGAGGATTAACAAACAAAGAAAAGGGCCCAAGAAAGCCTGGCCAGTGTTGCTCAGTGATTGTCAACCCTGAACCAAAAGGTCATCAGTTCAATTCCCAGTCAGGGCATATGCTGGGGTTTTGGGATCTAGGGGACGTGAAGGAGGCAGCAGATAGATGATGTTTCTCACTAATGTTTCTATTTCTCTCTCTCCCTAAAAAAAAAAAAAAAAAAAAAAAAAAAAA